ATCACTAGCTGAAATTATACAGCCTGCGCTATGCAGGTCAGAGTAGATGACTACACTGATCTGATTTCTGGCCTTAAAATCCATGAATCCACACTGAAGATAAAATTTTAAGCAGGTAGTTTTACTGTTTTTCTATATCACCAAGCCAACAAGCAGGCTGTCTCTCAAAGAACGTGTATTAAATATATCAGCCCCTCAACGTTTGCCGCTGTGCCGCATAACTTACATGGACACTTAAACATAGGAACTCCCTTGTGAAGGCACGAGAGTAACTCTGGCTACGCAGCTGAGTCTGAACGACGCCAGAGGCAAGTGAGACTGCTTAGCCCTGCAGAGCAGCAGCGAGTGGGTTAAACACGGAGCCAGGGGGCAAAAGTCAGAGCCTACACAGTGGTCTCCATGCAAACCCCTGGCCCCAGGATGTCCCTGAAGAGTGAGGACATTCTCAGAGCTGCCTGAGAGCAAAACCCAGAGTGAGCCTGTCTGAAGTGACTACACCACCCCTCTGGCACAGGAGCCACCACTCGCTGAAGGCCAAATGATGACACCAGGATGGGATCCCTATATATTTATGCTGCTCTTACATCCTCCACAGGTCTTTGTACCGACCACTGCTGGCTAAGGGATTTGGGGCTAGGCAGACCTCTGACCCAGCAGCCGATGGTGACTGATGAATGATGTTAGCTTTAACAACAAATAAAACAAGACAAATGACAATGCTGTGACCTGCTGTAGGTATCTACCCAAACAAATTCACACGACTCCCAAAAGTGCTGGAGCTAAAAGGGGTAGGGCTATGAATGCAGAGAAGGATCTGTCGTCTACTCCATACATGGTATTTGCTCTCACAGAAGCCCTCCTCCTCAACGTCTACAATATTCAGTTACAAGCTGGGAGGATTTAGATATTTTATGAAAAAGTGCAGAATCCATTTATAGCTAAATATATATGATGCATGAAGAACACCAAAAATAAAGCTGCTCAATAACTGTGGTTAATATTTCAACCTGTCCCTTAATGATGCAACCCCAATGCCTCAGGTACAGGGGTTTTCCTAACCAATATTTTACATGTTCTTTTCACTGATGGAATTTGTCAATCTAGTCAAGGTAGAATTGCAGAAAATTAGTATTTACCTGTGCTGCAATACCTGGATCCGATGGTACCAATTACACATAATCACTACGTGCAGTGTTTGGGGACAGGCAGGCAAACAGAAAAACCGGGAAGGAGAAAGAGATGCGAGGCAGCAGCGGAGCATCCTCTGGTCCAGGTTTTGGGATGGGACCAGCCCCAGCTCACTGCCGCCAGCTTCCCACACCCCCTTGAGCAAAAGACAAGTTTGCTCCATCTTTAGAAATCAAAAGGTGCAAATTGTTTGTTTACCACGTATCACTTCGCAGGTAGTTGGCCTAATACTGCCTTAGTTCTTTCCTTCTACAAGGTCACTTTTGAAGTGGTTTTCTTCCTTAAGCCCTTTGAAATTCTGTGCAAGACAAACCATGATGTATTTTTGGTAGAAAAGACTTCGGAAGGGTCACTTAGTCTCTTCCTTTGGCTAATGGAAGCTGTGCCCAGGACTTCAAAAACAAAGCCTAATTTTTAAAAAACCAAGCCAAACACAAAACATATTGCTGATGATTTCTGATGACAGTATTGATTTTTTTTCCTGTTTTGTCTGCATTTTGTTTTCAGAAGGGATTTTTGTTGTTGTTTTTTATTTTATTAGAGTAAATGACATATTTCCAAAAGCTGGAAAAGAGTATCTTTTACCTGACAATTGAACTGAACATTAAATGAAATCTGCAAAGCCATTTTTCCCATGCACAATCAAAAGCTGACAGGCAGGGAAGCACAGAGTGCATTAAATAAAAACCCCAACACAAGCAAGCTGAGGGAGAAAGTGTAAAACAGCCATCCTGAATCAGCTCCGAGCTGCTCTAATGGAATTAGGGTCACCCTGACAGAAACACAGTCAGATCACAGAGAAAATTTAATAATTTCTTACTGCAGTCTGTAAAAGCTGGGGAGGATTTGAAAGTGCTTTCTGCCAAATTAGCACTCCTGTATCCACCGTTCATGCACCCCATGGCCCTTCCCGCTCACCTTCTCCTCCCGCATCCCCCCAGAGCGGCCGGGAAACCCCCACTCCCCTTCTGCTGGCAGGGGGGCACCACGAGAGCCCCTCTTTTTCTGACACACTGGCACGCGTTTCACCTCTGGATGCCCCTTCAGTTCCTCAGCGCTGACGTTATTCACAGCTCCCGTGAACTCAATTCCAGGAGAAGCATCGCGGCGCGCGCCCGGTGCTAATTCCGCTCAGCGGTACATATTCAATCTGTTTTATCTCAGGCGTTAACATCTAGCTATCTGCCAGCTGCCTAATTGTCAGGAAGCTACGGCGGCGATGCTGAAATGTGTTGCGACAGCAGCAGCTCCGAAGCACAGGGGGGGAAGGCAGGGAAGCCCCGGTTGTGGGTGCTCCCCCAGCGCCCGGCCACGAGCCCCACGGCCGCCTGCTGCCAGGGATGCAGCACAGCCCACCACAGCCCTCCTTCCCTGCCCTCGATCCTCACCCTTCCCACGAAAAGTGGTTTTGGGGACTGACTCCATGCATTCAAGCGCAGGGAGAACCCTGCGCCCATTATCACATTTCTTTTAATTAGGGAAATGTAGAAAATGCTCTGCAGATACAAAGCCTCTCCATCCCTTCACTGCCTCCACACAGCGCTGCAATGGGGAAAAGGAAAAACCACAGTGAAATCCCAAGAACAGCCCTATTGTATCAGGAATCCAGCCAAACAAACTGCCTTTGGGCCAACAGGATGCTTAGGGGACCACAAAAATTGAAGAGGGTGCATAGGTGGGGTTGTTCCTTTCACAGCACCCCTTCTCTAGCTCCAGTGTGCATATATTGTTATACCTTCCCCTTGCCCTTCGCTTCTCTCCTGAACCAGGGCTTCCTAATGCCACGGTCACTACCGTACCTTGCCTGTCTGCATCACTGAGGGCAGGACATGAAATATTCAGGGTTTGGGGATGATTGTTTCCCCCCTGCAGAGGCGCAGAGCAGGCCCTTTCACACAGCTCCCTGCTGCCCGGAGTCGGTGGCAGGATTCAGTGGGACAAGATAATAGAAAAGCTGTAAGCTGCTAAAATACACAGAGCAACACTTCCCATCCAAGGAAGCCCCTGGGTTAATCCGTGGAGGATGTGGCGGTTAAAAGGTCGCTGTCCTCCAGACCTGCCTCCTAGATTAGGAATAAGTAATTCAGAGTCAAGTCTGCGCCAGAGGAAGAGGCGTACATATGGACATGGTTGCTTCTCAGCACAGAAGTGTTGCACATCTGAGACACCAATATTTGGATCTGGGCCTGTGAAACACAGCCAGTTTTGTTAAATTTAAGCATGTGGAAGTATTCCATAAATTTAGCAAGCCATGTCTGCTGCAAGTCATCCTCGGGCCAAGAACTGTTCTAGGACATCTCAAGCTCCATCAGCCTCTGCACACCTGATGGGAGTGATGCCTCTCTCCTTTGCAGGGACCAGGATAAAGATAATGAACCTTGGAGGATTTTTATACACCTTAAAACATTAAACGTATACTTCTCTGTGTCAGACTCCAAAATGGGCTACAACGTGTAGACAAAGTGATCTAAGTAAGCATCTTCCAGCAGCACCAGCAGCCAGAGAAGAAAGCTGAGGAAGGAGGCAGCTGCTGCCCCCAGTTTAACTGGGCAGCTCACACTCATAGAGACTACACGCTAACCTGCTGCCTCCGCAAGTCATCCCTAGTGACAACAAAACCTGTGAATTTGTATCTTCCTTCGCATTCCTCCCCTTCACTCTTCTCTCCAGCTTCTCTAAATTTACTCCTTCCCCCTCAATCAAGGACACTTAGGACCCCCAATCCGCTTTCTCCACTCAGCCAGGCTCCTACCAACATGAATCAAGATCTCCTTCAACTTTTACAAAATTACATCTTAATTATAAGCCTGGTGACTAAAGCTGGAGCGAGAAGCAGATGGTTGGTGGCAGCTCAGGAGGTGCATCATGGTCACCTCTCTGCTCTGACTCAAGTATCCCAGGAGCCCTGGGTGCTTCCAAAGGCACGGAGTATTCACAGCTGCCAGAGTCTACAACAAACGTGCAAACATTTGGACAAACTCTGAGAAGTCGGTTACTGGTTAAAGAAGAGGAAAGGGGTCACACAAATACCCAGGGATAACCTCACAAATACACACAAGTGAGTTACGAAAAATAATACTGTGCAAAGAACCCAGGAGGTTTCCTATGCTCCGCACAACTCATTTGATGGGAAATTCCTACTTCAAGGTATTTTCAGTAGGCCACCATCAGCCAAGTTTCTCCTCCTGCGTGTCCACAAGGGCGTTTCGCACACAAGCTTTCTCCTTGGCCTGGCTGGGGCTGATCAAAGCCAGTCACAGCAGCACCGTGAGGCTGTCAGGGGAACGGGCATGGACAGAATACAGCTTAAAGCACGACCGCAAGGGAACGTGCTGAAATACCGCTGTAGGAGAGCTACACTAGAAGGTAAAAACTTGCACCCTTTCCCCAACAGCTCTCAGACACTTGCTGACTCAGGAGAGATGTCTCAGTACTACACAAATTACAAGAGCTGGAAAAAGAACAAGGAAAACAAAGTAACAGGGATTACTGTGACCCCAATATTTCTCTCTTCCTCCGCCCCCAATTTTCTTTACTCATCTGTACATGTTAAAAATCAAACTGTCAGGTTTTGATCTTGCAGCTACTACAGAAATTCTTCGGCGCTTGAATAAATTTTGTCAGCCTTTTTAGTTCTACTTTTGCCCCTTCGCACACATACTGTTTATCTGCATTGCACACATTGGAAAAGAAGAGATTTGGGGGGCGTTATCCCAGTCCTCGGTGTTTCTAGTACAAACCAAGAAGGTTTAATATTTGTTGAGAGAAATTCTGTAAGGTATTCAAGCTTCCAAAACCGGAATGTTACTTACTGTCTGCTCCTGCTAAAGGCAGCATCAAGCAGCAGAGGATGGCTGCTGGCACAGTGAGTACTGGGACGCAAAAGTTAGGCACCATATTCCAAAGTAGAGCAAGTCCTCTTCAGTCTGAGGCAAGTGGTCAGTACATCCAGTGTTACAGACACAGACTTACTCCTGCAAACAAAGAGATAAAAAGGAAAATGAGCAAATATGACACACAGATTAAGTGCTGATAAACCAAACTGCACTGCAAAGGCACAATTACAGACACTTTATAATTTAACAATCTTTCCTGCTTGAGCAGCATAGCTCCACGTTGATGCCCCCAAATCCAATCAGCTCTTTTCAAGGGTCACGAGGCATAAATGCACGCCCATCTCCAAGTTTATCTTCATGTTCAGTCTCTATTATGGGCTATTAATACATCCTTTAGCTGTTATTCACAACAAATAGTCCTGAAGGTGCATGTTACAATGTAAGAAATAGTCTTAAGCTTGTGTAACTCTTCCTCATCCATCTGCCCAAGAGAGACATGCTTGATTGCGTATGTAGGGGTGGCTTGTGGTCAACTACATGTTAAGCGTAGGTTGGCCCATCCAGCTGGGCTGGTATACACCAGACATGTCTCAACGGGTCCAAGCAGGAGAAACAGAAGCTGAACTGAATCATCTGTTGGTTCACAGGGCTACCAGAGCCTCACAGTAGAAGGTTAAGAACAACGTCTAAAAAGAGAAGCTTTACTCAAACACCTACAGTTCAACCTCCCAAAAATGGAGAGGAGGACTGCCTAAAAGGACAGAGGATTGGATATCCCTTCTCCAAAAACAAAGCAAATTATCTTGGAAATTGGCTTAACTTAGGTGTCTGCTTGGATATAGAAATACAGAAAATTCCTTGACATGCAACGAAAAAAAAGGCAGGCATTTAAAAAAAAAACAAACAGTATTTCTGTATATCTGCTTTCTTTATCTTTTCAGAAGAATATACTCATTTTACGTTCACCGGAAAGTCCAAGGTCTGCCTGTTAAGACAGATTTTAAAGGAGCCAGCAAGCTCCATTCCTTCAAAGCGAAGACGCTCAGCAAGGACAGGTGCTCACTCTTTCAGTGCTGGGCATCTCAACGCAAGCTCAAGAGTCATTCAAAAGTCAAGAAGATTCTCCTTCACTAACCTGCAGGAGCTACCAAAAGCTGACAATACAGCATTAATAGTGAAACAGCCTCATGCAGGCAGATGCCAGCCCGAGATTCAGCAGCCTGCAGAGGGCAAAGGACTTGAGACCCAAAGGTTTCGCAAGTCTTCAACAGTGCCTTGGTGAAATGAGGTAGGTACTCAGTGGTGTGCATGTAAGTAAGATTCTGGATCCCATGAGTATCCTTGAAGCAAAGTTTCTGCAAGTGCACAGACTGTACACGGCATGACCCACCATTCTATTCATACTGGCAGACATTTCAGAAACATATTCAAGACTGCTCTAATAAAGGTATTTCTGCATGTTGCTGAGGTTTTTGAAGATTAACTGTACCACTTTTTTTTTTTTTTTAAGAACCACAAAGCCTTTGATGGCGGTATCATATGTTACAAACATGTTTACATCTGACAAAAACACAGCATTCAATGAATGCCAGCAATGTTGGTGCTCAGGGAAATCCGCAAGAAATCTCAAGAGAGTCTACCTAGGCAAATATTTACATCGCATTGTACTAACAAACAGCAGATCATGATTCTTCTCCATTCTGTTACTGTATTTGCACAGTAAATCTTTTCACACGTTATAATATCACACAATACAGAGAAATCTTTATTTATGCAACGTCTTCTACAGCCAAGACATCTGAAAATACTTTATAAAATAACCTAGTTCTAACCTAGATGCAGAGAGAATACTGATCATCTCATCCTGCTTTTATTATCTCAATGAGAAAGCATAAATCCAAGTAAGCTCAGCAGCAAGATTTTGAACACTGCAAAAGAGGCTCTTGGTACCAGCCACACACTCAGTTCTCTTTGTTGCTCTCCACCCTCCATATCCTTATTCATCTCTCGCCAAAGAATTACTAAAAGCACCATTAACAAGTCTTACACCGCAGATGCAGATAGCTGTATCTTTATAGCTGCATAAGCTCTATTCCAACGGGAAACTCTGTTCAGTCCCCAAGCCGTTTGCCCGGTGTTAGCCAGCTCTCCAGATATGGCCCACACGGGAACGGGAAGAAGTGCCTGGATTAAGAGTGAAGATTATGTCTCTAAATTGTGCATATACGGTGCTAATTTGTACAGCCTGGAGAAGCGAACCCCCTGAAGCACACTTTAGGCAGCATTACATCTGGCTCAACAGCAGCCAGAATCTTAAGAGGCTACTCTCCTTGGAGGTTGCAGGGGGGGAGGACTGAAACACCACCAAGGGTTGAAATGACTGTGTCAAAACTAATGATGTGTGTCAAACCCTCTCAGATTAGGACAGGGAACAAGTTTTACAGGTGGTGCTGAAAACATCTTAGGTATGTATCAGACCAGACTGGGGATGAATAGCTTTCAGAGAGCTTTTCCTCTTTCATTCACTTCCATTAACAACAAAAGTGCCTGATCTAATGGTGTATCCTGAGTGCAGATTGCTCAGAAGTCATGTGAATGGCACCTCCACAGCCCTCATTCAGGAGTGTAACTCTCAGGAACACAAAAACCCCAGCTAAAGAATAGGTCTGCCTCTCAATTTCTCTCTTCTTTCAGCAAATGTGATCAAGCTTCTCTCCCGTTTCAAGCTTGACAGATTTATAACTTTCCTCTCAAGCCCATGAGATACATACAACATGCATCATGCAAAACTGATGAATTGTCAGTTACCCTACCAGATGCTTTATAGACTTGATCTTTTTGCAACTGTTTAGTGCTCTATAATAATTTACCATCTGGCAGAAAAGCCAGATTTTCTTATGCAAGACCGCTGTCTGTCCCTCCAAAGTTAATAGAGCACCTTTGGCCCTTAACTGGATCAAACTTCGCTGCTTCCTCTTTCCATGGTTGTTCTGCCTATAGAAAAGTTGTCTGTATTCAATATTTAAAGACCTTTAAATTGGAATGTTTTAAAATTTTATAAATCTCAGTAGCTGTCATTCTCTTTTGAAATTGAAAATATGAAAAAGCCTCTCCCAGTGGTTCAGCTCTCCCATTTTTAGAAGGGAGGTGCTCTCCCCCAACAAAACAATTCAATATTCAAGGGAAGGTGGCAGGGTGCTAGCTGAATCTCAGTTAACCCTTAGAACACCAGTGTTACTCTAACAGTTTTAAACAGCCATCTTGAACCAATATTAAAGGCTTTCTCCTTTTCTGGGGCAGAAAGGAAGCCTAAGACAGAAAGTAGCTATAAATGAAATAATATGGGTAGACTTTGGTAATGGGCTAAGGTGATGCAGAGTCAGTATTGCTTGGGTAAAATCAAGTCCAATAGCAACTAACCAACCAACTAACGCTCTTAAGATTCTTAGTGTTTCTTTTGCTCTAACAACCCCACGCCTCTTCAGGCTGCCCTCTCTTGCATCTGGAATTCTCTCCTGTGCATCAGATAACCTCAAGCCCCTTCATTTGAAGGTCTCCTTTAATCCCACTGCTTTGGCTAGCACCTTACTAATAACATGGTATTTGGGAGCCCAGACACTGTAGAAGAAGGTTTTTCAAAAATAAACATACATTCACATTGCTACTTCTGCATCTGATCCTGGCAATATTATAAACTCCAGACCACGAAACCCAAAAGGAGGTTGAGGCTAAGCACTCCAGATGGCTTTGTAAAAACAGCTTTGAGTTTTGCAAGCTAAACTCCTGCCTCTGCTTCAAAATCAATGTGAGAACTACACAGTGCTACTTTGGCAGAAAATGAGAAAGCAGGAAAGCACAACAACAACAAAAAATAGCAAACTTAATTTATATATAGCTGATTTTGCCGTGGGGCAGGTGGATGGAAAAGAGGTGGTCTTGAGAACATTTTTGAAAACTACATGGTTTGATTCTTTCAGACAAGCAGAGAAAGCTGGACTCATTTAAAACAGAGCCAAGAATACCAACAGCTCATATGGTACTAGGAAATTCTGGCAATGAGTGTGTCCCGCAGGAGACGGCAAAGAGATTAGAAAAAGCAGTCAACTTTAAAGAGTCAAGAGGAATTTCAAACGAGCACTGAATAGCTCATGTCCTCTATGAACTCTTCTGGAAGCTAAACTAAACTGAAGCAATTGTCACGTGAGTCACAGCCGTGGACAGTGTGGTGAAGGAAAGCATCCCCAAAATAAGCCTGCCCGTTCCAAACCAGGGACAAAAATACTGCACTGAAACCACTTTTTAAGTTTAAGCTACTTGGCAATCCAAAGTATCCAAACAAGTCAGCACAAAAATGTTCCCTCCAGGAACCCCTGTACATCCACAGAACTGCCAGGTTCAGTTGTGTGTGTGACTACTGACACTGCATTTGCTGTGAAACACAGTCAAAAGACTCTCTAGAAACTTACAGGGCAGAAAGGTAAGCTCAGTGCATAAGCAATGTCCTCATCTGACCTGCAGACAGAATAGTACCTTTTCATAAAAGAACCTGAAACAATTGTGTTTGCTTTTCAAGGTGGAAACTTCTTAAACATTTTCAACCTGAGCCCAAGGATGCAGGTCAGAAGATACCAACTGGATGCCACCCAGAAAATAGTGAAGAAGAGGCTAAAACTGCATCAGCTTCTCCCAAATCTACTGTATGTGTGACACATAATGAAACCAAACTTTCCTTCTGGACACCCACCCACAACTTTGTATTTTACACAAATACCCAACAGGGGAACCGGTGCTCTAGAGCGACCCCATCACCACAATACTTTGAAGTGTCACACAAACGATGGTAATCAAGAACTGACTGAGCAAGGAGGGGGCACATGCCACACAGAGCAACAAGGCAACTATTTATTCTATTAAAAGTGAGAACAACAAATGGCTACAGCTCAACTGCTTCATTCCATACATAACACCTCATCTGTGCTCTGAAGGAATAAGATGAAGACCGTGAGGCACCCTAGAATTCAAGCTCATCATACTGCACGCATTAGAAGTTGTTGAAGCACAGTTACACACAACTTAATGACTTTTGAATGTTTCGCTTCACCACATTAGTATTCCTTAAGCATAGATTTCTTCGTGTT